TTCTTTGTGCACAATTCTTGAAAAAATTGAATTTAGGAGTGCGACATTACCGCCCCGCTATTCGTTTGAGGTTGCAGAAAAGTATTAGAGACAAACCTAAATTCTTTGCATATGTACTACAATAAGGAAAGTAATCAGAAAATGAAAATTCTTTTAATAATTAGAACAAAAATATGTAACCTTGTAGCACAGTGAAGAATGAGCCATAACTGATGTGTGATAATCAAAATTCGAGCATTCTGATGAAGTAAAATACGATTTGTTGTCTTAAATATTACCCAAATTTCAACAATAATTGCTGTCGCTGAAGTGATAATTACAGCAATGAGAATAGCATTGTATACGATATTATTAGCTAATTCACTTGCTTGCTTGCATGATTCCATATTTACAATTAGCCTAAAAATTTTGCAACTTACTACTCTAAATTTCAATAATTAGAGTTGAGATGAAAGATATTATATATAAAAAGAAGAAAATTAAAGAATTTGTCGAGATCAAGGCTGAAGTTTGATAATGAGCAAGAACTCACCTTTAATTAACAGCTAATCCTGTTAATTAGAATTATGTTGATATATGTCACTTATTCTATCCAGACAATTGTGTAAAGATGAATAGAGAATGAAAATGATGCATGAAAAGTTTTTTTTGAATTTTCCAGCAGCGAAAAACTTTTAGCAGTAAAGTCTCATTAAATAGTTCATGGAAAGCTTAACAAAATTAAAAACTAAAATTGTGTGAATATTTCAATGATTTTCATGAGAAAATTATAAACCATGGTAAATTTATAAATGGCAAGTTTCTGTTTTCAATAAAGAAATGTGAGAAATGAGAAAATGAAATTAATAATATTTTGAGTTAGCACAAGGAACCTTAAAAATGATTTTCTTTTCTTTCTTAATTCATTTTTTTTTTTTTTTTTTTTTTAGTAATGATCACAACAACAATTTCTATCTTTTGATCTGTGTAGTTTAATGATTGAATTTTAGTGTGCAGCAGAAAATAAAATTGCGCCATTTTTTATGTATATCGTTCGGATCACAATGAGAAAATAAAATTATTTTACTGATTGCTTTTTTCTTAGCAAATTACATGAATAAGTGAAATTCCTTCAAATGCAATAAGCAAATTTCAACCTCTGACGAAATAACATAACGGAATATCACGTATCACATTGTAAGTTTTCATTTAATTTAGGTGTGAATACGAAATTACTGTAAATGAGAACACGTTAATATTGCTGCATCAATCGAACGAATTTTGAATGGCGTGGAATTTCGAATAATTGAAAATATGAATACTTGGATTTGAATTTGAAAAAGATTGGAAGGAAAGGCTGAAGTAATCGCATTGAAAACAAGGATAGCTCGAAGGTTAGTAAATAATTTCCGCTGATATTTCATTTTGTTTTTAAAAAAAAACTGCATATCAAACTGAGGAACTTGCATTCAGACTAGAATTTTAAGTTCGAATTGGTCAGATTATCATTTTGTACGTGTGGTTAAGATTAATCAAAACTAATTGAGTATTTTTTTTCCAGCAAATTTCACCAGAATGCATCGTTAAATTATAACAATATTACTTAACAAAATCAAAATAGAAACAGAATCATATTACCATTGTGATAAGGCATTTCAACAACAAAAGCAGAAAAGCATTTTGATCAATGTTAAAATGATATTAGTTAAAAACAAAATTGCAGTTCTATCAGTAAGAGTAAAAATTGTCATTAATGTGATTTGAGCAACCTAAGCACCTAAATAATAGTTCCGTTGAATCCATACAAAGTGATATGCTCTTCATCTATTTTATCCAATAAAGTAGGCGCTGAACTGTTCGAATTGATTCTGAAATCGTTTAATGTCTGAAAATCTTTGAACTTGTTCATTCACATACGAAATTTCCTAGCAACATATAATTTAAATCAGTTAAATGCATTAAATTGATTTAAAATATGTTCCATTGAGAGAACGATGTTCTCATTATCAGATATAATCCTCTCTTATTGCACTGCATTGTATCAGTGTACTATAATTTGAAGTACTAATTGTAAGAAATAACTGTAAAAAGAAAGTAGCCATATCTGATGCACTACCATAATAAAATCATTTAGAACTTTGCATGATTTCAATTTTCTTAGTGAATAGAAGTATTTAAATTCAATACTTTTGGTACCTCTAACTCACTGGTGATAAACTCTAACCACTATTGATAAACTGAATAATCGATCAAATTGAATGACGAATTGAATTCAGATAAAATTGTGTCTTTTGGCAATAAAATAAATATAATTTGAGGCAAAATTAAAGTCAATTGTATAATTTGTTTCCATTTAATTCAGAACTGATTGCTGATAATATTTCCAAACAGCAGAAAACAAAAGGATAAGGGAGAAAGAAGGAGAACGAGATGAGAAAAAAGAAAAAGGACAGGAATTTGAAAGGAAAACGGCATGAGAGAAGCGATAAAATCGAAAGGTTAATTGATAATTTAATTTAATGCAAAGATTTGAAATTAATGTTTTGTTTACTGATTTCTTCACAATTTTCCACCATTTCACTACATACATGATTTATTATTATAAATTAATCTATGACTTGAAATTCGTTAATTTATACTTAATCGGCACTGGTTTTACTTATCCAATATGTATTTTACCTATCCTAACATATATTTGGTTTTGTAATTAATTTAGTTAATTAAAAATGCTCATAAATTTATTCAATTCATTTCGGTTATTCTTCATCTTACTGTTTTTTAACGACCTTTTCTTCATCCTTTCTTTACTTTTCTTCTGCCCAAATCTATTCTTTCCTTTGATTATATCTTCCTTTCTAGATAATTTCAAAACTTTTCGTTTAACGACTTTATTATGTGTCGCGGAACTCGAAATAAGTCTTGTGAACATCCAAATAACTTACAAAATATATCAAATAAAAATGCATCAATCCATAATATTAAAATTTGTTCTAATTGAACATTCTTTAAAGAAATATAAAACTGTTTTAAATTGCATATAATGTAAGTAATCACGATTCTAGCATTTATCTTTCCTTTTAGCTAAACTTATCTGCTTGTTTAGTTTGTTTAGAAATTTTTCAACTGTTAACAGTTGGGAAATGTTTTTCAAATGTTTTTTTAAATGTTTAGAAACTTTCAACTGTTAACAAAAGCTATGAGCATTGTTTAATATGTTAAAAACTATTTCTCTGTTCCGAATCAAATTTGCTTGCAATGTTGAAATATTGTAATGGTTTTGTAATCTAATAGTTATTGTTATGAGAAACTGACAATATTAAAACCCATCCCTTACTATATAAAGAGTAAAGGTCATCTGATAGCTCTTTGCTCCACGTAATCATGCGTTTATTTCAAATCAATGTCCACTATCTATGGATTTAAATCCCTTGTCTCGGGTTAGTTTTTTGTACCAGCAAGTTATATAGTTCGGCTACTACTATCTTGCTCATTTAATTCAGTTCACTTAAATTCTTTAAGTTCTAAATGAATAAATATTCATTTCCTTCATCTCATTCGTAGTTACTCCACGAAATGATTAGTATACTATTGCTATAAATTAATACCTATACTTTATTGTTGTTAGCAAATAAAATCGTTATAATTTTTTTCTTCCACTCAACGCATTCGTTAATAAACAAAGAAAACTGCTGAGCATACGAAAGTTCAATTCGACTCTAAGCTACAAGAGTTAGAAACTCTAAGTTTCATAACATTATGTTCAAACCTCATTCTACCAAATTTTTTCATTGTCTCATTTTCCACTCTTAATTTTTGCACAGAAGAAAAGAAATAAAGATCAAATCAATAGAAATCTGTCTCCTCTCAAAGTAATGCTAACCGACAAGAAAGTGAACATTACCAATAAATGAATGATATTTACTTCTTAATGCCATATTTTCACCTAATTAAAGTTGAAAATTTCTAAATTTATTGAAAAATTAATAAAACACAAACCATTAATGCACACTGTTCAAACGCAATAATACAATACATAATCCCAGGTCACGTAACATTCCTTTTACACATTCTTTTAACTCATTACTATGCAAAACATGAAAATCAAGTTATACTTAAAAACCATATTTGAAACTATTACTAATCCTATGTGACAATGAATAAACTACATTCATTCGAGATGACAATGAATAAATTGCATTGAATAAGGATTAAAAAAATCGTTAAACCATTCCTTGTTTAACCAATATGCTAATTTGCTATCTGACACTTTAAAAAGTCTCATTTTGCTCGTTCCCACACAGTTCATTTTTACTAATATCATCTGTTTGATCAAACAAATTTCACTATCAGTTAACATTTTCCCCACCTGAAATGGATTCACGGAAATCTCTATAATATTAAATGTTGATTAGACTTTAAACTTACCATTTCATAAAGTCAGCTCATTTACTTTCAAACATGCAACTTTTATTTTAGGTTAAAATAGACAAGCATCAAATTTGTTGGCATACTATCTTCAAGATTGACATAAAAACGAGAATTCCTTTTTATCATACTTTTTTACATATCAAAACATTTTTTTAATATCAGTTTTCTAGGTTGAGGAAGATTTGTCTTTGCAGATTAATTAAAGTTTGTTTTGGAATATGATGATGATGATGACAATGTTATGTATCATTTTATGCATAATTGCGCCAATATTCAGTGCTAATGTTTATCGGACTACGAATGGCACTGAGATTGTTCCACTTAACATAGTAAGTTTGTGAATGTTATTTCTTGTGCTCAGGATAAAGCTAATTACCAGTGATAACCTAATAGTAATTTGTTGATAAGTCGTTGATGTATCTATTTTGTGATGCTTCGAGGAATATGGAAAAAGGAAAAAGATGAAACTAACAAATGGAATCTGAATGTGATCATTCCGGGTGATGTGTAAAGATGGCATCAGAAGTATTGAATTTAAATACTTCTATTCACTAAGAAAATTGAAATCATACAAAATTCTAAATGGTTTTATTATGGTAATGCATCAGATATGGCTACTTTCTTTTTACAGTTATTTCTTACAATTCGTACTTCAAATTATAGTACACTGATACAATGCAGTGCAATATGAGAGGATTATATCTGATAATGAGAACATCGTTCTCTCAATGGAACATATTTTAAATCAATTTAATGCATTTAACTGATTTAAATTATATGTTGCTAGGAAATTTCGTATGTGAATGAACAAGTTCAAAGATTTTCAGACATTAAACGATTTCAAAATCAATTCGAACAGTTCAGCGACTACTTTATTGGATAAAATAGATGAAGCTATCGAACAGAGCATATCACTTTGTATGGATTCAGCGGAACTATTATTTAGGTGCTTAGGTTGCTCAAATCACATTAATGACGATTTTTACTCTTACTGCTAGAACTGCAATTTTGTTTTTAACTAATATCATTTTAACATTGATCAAAATGCTTTTCTGCTTTTGTTGTTGAAATGCCTTATCACAATGGTAATATGATTCTGTTTCTATTTTGATTTTGTTAAGTAATATTGTTATAATTTAACAATGCTTTCTGGTGAAATTTACTGGAAAAAAAATACTCAATTAGTTTTGATTAATCTTAACCACACGTACAAAATGATAATCTGACCAATTCGAAATTAAAATTCTAGTCTGAATCCAAGTTCCTCAGTTTGATATGCAGTTTTTTTTAAAAACAAAATGAAATATCAGCGGAAATTATTTACTAACCTTCGAGCTATCCTTGTTTCAATGCGATTACTTCAGCCTTTCCTTCCAATCTTTTTCAAATTCAAATCCAAGTGTTCAGATTTTCAATTATTCGAAATTCCACGCCATTCAAAATTCGTTCGAATGATGCAACATTGCCAACATGCTCCCATTTACAGTAATTTCATATTCACACCTAAATTAAAACGAAACTCAGAATGAATGATTAATATCAGTGCAGTAATTAGTTACTGCGTAATACGTGATATTTCATAATATCAAATAAGCTAATATTTATAATTTCGCACCATGTTGCGTGTTAATGAAAAAGAAAGCGCTATTACACTTGCACACATTACAGACATTTCTGCATTTAGTTATTACTTAAACATTCAATAAGTTTATAACATCAAATAACACAATGTTTACAGTAATGCATTTTCCTATGTATTTTATCCATTTGCATCTAATTTTAGCTTAACACGTAAAAAAGAAAAAAAAAGGATAAAAAAGAAAACCAATTGTTATTGCATTATAAAGCAAACGCAAAGCAATCCAAACTATCACGAATATCTTAAACATGCAAAAGTGCATCATTACGTTGCATGAATAATGATTAATCCTGAAACGAAAGTTATTCTACGGTGTTGGTAACTTGCCATGCTAGTTAAGTATAATAATTGAAATTATGGTCCTCGTTAGGTTAAGTAAGTTTCAACGTGTCAACGTGACTGTGACCTTTGACACTAATGGTCGGTAGAATTATTGATTTTGGCGGACGTACGCTGACTTCTAAGTAACAGCTAAAATATTTTTTCTCTAGGCTTTGTAATATTTCTCGATTTTTTATATCTCTCGAAGTTTTTTTTTTTTTTTTTTTGTTTTACATTTTTACAGGTTGATATTAGCATTTGGTAGGATTAAACTGTGAATGTGGAATGTAAATACTACTATAATCATTTTGTGCATAAAATTATATTGTCGAATTAATTTTAGGACGATAAGAAATGATTGTTTTAAGTAATGTAGCTGTGCCAACAGATGGCATTCGATTGATTCAAGGTCAAGTTACTGCATATATTGAAAGTGAATCTGCTGGTGAAGGTGAACTGACCATTGCCGAAAGGTATCGAATTGGTTTGAATTAAATTGTGTTATTATTAAATATTATATTATTTGAAGAAAATTATTAAAAAATTGTATGGTCCAATGATTGTTGTGTTACCCCTAGCAGATTAGTTTGCATGAAGGTTTGGAGCAGTTTAGCTTTCGGATGCTTTTTGTGCCAGCTGGAAGAAGTAAATCATGAAATTTTGAAATATTTTCTAGACAGATTTGAGTCAGTTTAATTATTTTTATGTTAATATTAGCCGTATTCGAATCTGGTTGCGAAATAAATGGAATGTTTTAGTTCAGTAACATGGATTTCAAATATTAGTGGACAAGGCTTTAGTCTGACTTATCCGTCAATCATCCTTCATGCTGTTTCACGGGATCCAAGCGTGTTTCCAGAAGAGTGCATTTATGTGTTAGCTGATGCGAAAGGATCAGGTATGCTACCATATTCAGTGTTTGATAATCATTTTATTTTTTTTTTCTCCATTTTGAGCTTAAAATTTGCATATGAGAATTTAAGATTTACATATTTGTAAGACATAAATGTGGATTATTGAAATTTTCTATGAGACAATTATACGTTTGGTGTTATATAGGTATCAAACGATAATTTTTTAAAATTAATATGTATTAGAAGAATTCAACTTACTACTCTGCTTCATACCTTTGTTAATAATGTTTTGTGTTGTTATTTGCAGACATAGGATTACAAGGCACCGAGGAGTCTGTGAGTAGTGCACATAATGGGAATGGTATTGAAGAACAAGCAGAATTTGATGAAAAAAGGGCAGAGAATGGTTGCGGTGATGATATTGATGATGATGGAGATGATGATGATAAAGCACATTTAGCTATACGTTTTTCTCCTCAAGACAAAACTATATGTAAGTTTAGGGATGAAATATATTAGATGTTCTAGGGATTTTATCCGCTATTTGCAGTTTTTTCGGTTTCCAGTGTTTTGTTTCATTTATTGTTAGTTTTACGACTTACTGTTGATGATATTAAGTTTTTAAAATTTTTAAATGTTAATTTTTGTTGATTGTTGCTGATTTAAGGAAGTAACATAAGAAATATGTTCGGTATGGAGTTAAATTATGAAGCACGCTAAAATGAATTACTATAAAAGTGTGATAATTAAATTAGTGTTTTAAGAAAAAATTTTTTAAAATAAGTACTTATCATATGTTAGCTCCTAATTTCTTTGTAAGATTTCTCACTTTATGCATTTGAATGAGTAAAAAATTTTGGAAATAACTTGCGTAATTTAGAATATCTGCTTTAAATTAGTGACTTGTATAGAGTTCCATCTTGTTGTATCAGATATGATGATATAATGTTTGCTAGTTTTATAATTTTCGAAAAATTCAGTACAAAATATTTATCAACAAATGTGCGAATGCCAAGAACTGAATCCTGACGAGGGGGACGATTTTTCGGACGATTTTACTATGGATCCAGACGGCGATTTCTCAGGTATATATCAGCTGTAGTATGGGTGTTAAAGATCTTATAGCGCAATTTGATTACAAATAATGGTAACATAGATCTGAAGATTTTTCCCATATTACTTGTAACTCTTATTTTTTTAGAAAATAAATCGGATGAGGAAGGAGATTATGAGGGAAATGATGGAGAAGGAGATCAGAATACGCTATATTTTCAAGACATATCAACAAATATGCGCAGGCATGAAACCAATGGTGGTATGTTTTTTTTTTTTTTGACCTGAACTGAAAAGAATAGTGTGGTGGTCAACGAATATTGGGTATAGTCAAACGAGATCAAGCAGATTAGTTTGCTCTCGAAGTGTATTTTGTTAGAATGGAGAATTGAAGGGGATATTCTTTGAATTGAAGATTTAGTCTTATAATTCTATTAATTTATTATTCATTTGACCAATGACAATTACTGCCGGGAAAGGACTAAAATTATGATCGAGAGCGAAGGTACCACGAGTGCTATATAAATATAACGTGTTTTAGTATTGTAGGAAGCGTGATTTAACATATTTTATGGTTTTTGTATAAAATATTGGTAGAAGTATTATAAACGTTGAAGTCACTCCGATAGGTGCAATGTTTTCGGACAAAAATATATGTTTAAACACTCTATTTTTATGTTTAGCTTATATGCTTCGGATTGCAGATCATGGAGATGCCTTTGGCAGTGAACAAATGGACGAAGGATAGAAGCGGTGTTATATGTTTTTTTTTTTTTCAATTTGAACGTTTAATTATTTACTGCCTTTGGTTTGTTTTATTGTTTGTATGTCAATAAATAATTATGTTCATGTAATGTGTCAGTCACTTCTAAAAGAGACATTTATTGATGACGTAGCATTTTGGCTGGTGTTAAAAACAAATCCCAAAAAGCGAAGCAAACCTAAGTTTTATGCAGCATGAGAAAATCGCTGTTGATTGACAGTTCTAATACTACTTGTTGTTTTTTTTTTTTTTTTTGGTTTAACTATATTTGCTTTACAAATACATCCCGAAAATTTCTCTCTAATGAATATTGATTCGAAAATACTGAGAAATAAATTACCTAATGCCTAATAAAATTCAGTTGTAAATTATGACTGTATTATCGATCAAATTGTTTCCTTAATTTTTACAACAGATAGTACATATTGTTTATTTCCATTATATTTAAGCATCTAAACTACAAATACTAGCATTTGGAATGATATTAAAATATTTTGTCTGATTATCATAAGTGAACTTATGACAATATTTTGTGATATAAACATGAATTACCTGAAAATTTTATTGATTTATCAAATATTTTAAGAAAAATTTTGCTAAATTTTGAAATGGAAATTTTTTGTGTAATAGAAATCAGTATTAATCATCCATTTTATTGTCTAGCTGTCAATTAATACATTTTTTTTTTGCAAATTCCTTATGGTAATAGTTTGATGACCTTTTCTAATTGAACAAAAACATTCAAGGTTGTAACTAAGCCACAGCTTTAAATGTTATTCCAAATTTGTTATTGTTTGTTTTTTTGTTTTTTGTTTTTTTTAATCTATAATTTCTTAATTTTTTTATATTTTGCTGATTAAAGTTCATTCTTGTGAAAATCACTGGATAAATAATTGTCTGGAACTAGAATTTGCAAAAAAAAAAAAAAAAAAAAAGTAATTGTAAACCAAAATTTAAAAACCATTTGAAATTTGAACTAAAAGTACATTTGATATTTGTGATAATTAACGTAGCATCACATGCCAGAAACATAAAGGTAGAACAGGATATAAAAAAAAAGAGAGAATAGAATGTCAATAAAATACTCTTCAGTACCGGTTTACGATATTTTTTTTTTTTTTACATTTCTTATTCTTAAAACAGAGATTGAAAAATATTTATTCATGCTATTTCTACATTTTTCTCATCAAAAAATTGTAATTTTTTCGAAAATTCAAAAAATGATTTTATAAATTTTTGATAATATTTTTTTAAATACTAAATAAATTCATAGTAGCAATAATTGTTGCTGTTATTGCTATTGTTGTTGTTGCTGCTGCTATTATTGTTGCTGTTGTCGTTGTTGTTGTTGCTGCTATTATTGTTGCTGTTATTGCTGTTGTCGTTGTTGTTGTTGCTGCTATTATTGTTGCTGTTATTGCTGTTGTCGTCGTTGTTGTTGCTGCTATTATTGTTGCTGTTATTGCTGTTGTCGTTGTTGTTGTTGCTGCTATTATTGTTGCTGTTATTGCTATTGTTGTTGCTGCTGCTGCTATTATTGTTGCTGTTATTGCTGTTGTCGTTGTTGTTGTTGCTGCTATTATTGTTGCTGTTATTGCTATTGTTGTTGCTGCTGCTGCTATTATTGTTGCTGTTATTGCTATTGTTGTTGTTGCTGCTATTATTGTTGCTGTTGTTGCTGTTGTTGTTGCTGCTGCTGCTATTATTGTTGCTGTTATTGCTATTGTTGTTGTTGCTGCTGCTATTATTGTTGCTGTTATTGTTATTGTTGTTGTTTTTTTTTCTTATTGTTATGAAGTAATAATAAAAGTAATTAAGTAATGTAATAATAGTAATAGCATGAGTAACTCTTTTTTCTA